CACTTTAATGTTGGTCTCGTCCACCTATGAAGGTGTTCCTAACGTAATTAAGAGCGGTGCATCACCCTCTAAATTCCAGCTGGATACAGAGCTGAGTGTTATCGCATCTGTGTGTATGCTATCGGAAATATAGCCACGTGGGTCGTTGTTTGGACGGCCAATGACGAAGTAAATCTCACTTGTTAATTATTTCTGTAATAATGATTCTTGTAGCATATAGTTATAATTAGCTGATCATTTATCAATTACAGGTGGCCACTTCGATCCTTCCTGCTGGTACCCCTGTTGTCTGGAAAGATATCTGGAGCAAGCTTAAACGCGACGGTGCCGATGATTCGTACACCAACAGCTACGGTTGGGTATACAATTCAGCGGTACAAATCAAATCAGATGGTGATTCTCAAACCTTAATCGCCACAATCGCTGTTTCCCCACCTGCAAATTAAGCTAGCTTTGCTTATTTACTCGTTTCGGCAATCTGTGGTGCGATGGTGAGGCTGTCAAAACATACCACTACTTGTTTACACCATGCACTTCTATTTAAATAAATTTGACAGCCACCAATAAAGGATGCTTTTGAATCATGCGTGTTTAGTTTGTCTCTTTTACCTGTAGTAATTTCAAATACCAGCATGTGTCTCTTTACTTCAATAACAACGAGTTATCAATAGTAAAATAATATTTTATTATAGTAAACAGTTCTAGTTCGAAGCAAAAAATGGAATGACCGACCATTTAACTAAACAAGGGATGGCCAGACGTGAGTTATTTAAAGTATGATAGTAATTGGTCTACTTTATGTTGGGTGTGACTTTGTATCGATCAGCAATCTATTTAGTTGGTGTATGTCCGAGAAGTGGGTCTTGGAGTTGTAATTTTGACCTAGTTATGTTGCAATCTTTTCCTCCATATAGGTTTAAAGAGATTTTTAACGAGAAACACAATCTAAATTTTGGGATTGTTTGTTTAAATCCTTAATAAAATCATATTTGCCGGGGAAAAAATCAATCACATCTCATTGTTCCCAACCTAACATCCTTCTCCCCATTGATCGAATTAACATCCAAAAACAATAATGAAGTTATCCTTTTTTGCATCCACTTCGACTAGTGGTTTAGGGTTTAATTGAAATAAATGTGAAGATTGAAGATTCGATTGCACATAAATAATGTTGATTGAGGATTAAACTGAACAAATTCAAAGCTATGAAACAGATTCGAGAAGAATAGAAACTAAAATAAATGCAAGGCAAATTTTGAGGCTAAATTTGTGAACGGACAATTACTACTACTACTACACCAACTCTACCCCTTGGCAACGGACGACTATGTCGATAAACAATGATTTTATTAAAATCGAAACTAATTTGACACTGACTAATTAATTCAATTGAATACCTTCTACAAATAAATGATCTCTACCTGGTTGTTTTCTTTATGCACTTCTATTTTAATTTTACATGATATTTAAATAAATTTGATGAATAATCTTGAAAAAGACAAGTTTTATCATATTTTAATTTTATATAACATTTAAATAAATTTGATTTCCATAGATAAATTGATGAATAATCTTGAAAAAGACAGGTTTATCAAGGGTGTATAAAAAGATTTGATCCGTTGATCAGATTCGAAAATTCGAATATCTGATCCATTTTTTATTTTCAGACAATTCAGATCGAATATTCAGGGGAAATTTGGATAATCGGGTCGGATATGGATCGGACAAATTTCAGTTTCAGATTATCTGAAAATCCAAAAAAATGGGCTTTTAGATCTGAGATACCCTTTAGCCCAATAAATGAGTAACCCACCAACTCATTAATGCTTTAACTCAATAAAAATTAGTATATTTAATTATTTATTGCGTGTGAGTAATTAAATATATATATATAATATAATAGAAATATGGAATAAATTTTCTAATTTTGATAAGAATTATATATATTTGTTTTAGTTTCAATGAACTCCTTATGCTACTGAAGAAATGAGGCATTGCATCTCACCTCACTTGAGTGGCCCATTAGATGTATGGATGATGGTGGTCCCTCTTATGTGTTATGTTATTGTCAAGTGGCATCCCACTGATCACGTGCTTTGCCAATTTGATTTTGTACAATCTATTCCTGAAGCACCTAGGAATCTCGACAATTTGCATAACATTGATAGACGGGGCAAAAAAGAAGTCAACTGGTTGATGAAGCACTGCAAGTGGGTAATGATCTGGAGGATCAACGTGAACGTATTCCCCATAGGGAGCCGATTTATGTGGATCATTATTCGGTTGCGGATGGCTATTATCAGTGGTTCAACACGAATGGGAAGTCGTTCCAACTTTATGAGGATGCACGTGGCGGGAGCATTCATCTGCGTTGAGAAAAGCGTCCACCGTCACAGTATCATTGTCCCCCGACTCGTGGACGGAGAGCAGGCGATTCCGGTTCATCCTCAGCTATAGCACTGGAACCATAACAACAACCATCGTCTATATCGATTTACATTCCACAGCCGTTTCAGATGCCATCGCAGCTGGGTCAAATGTCACCACAACCATTTTAGATGCCACCATAATCGGTTCATATGCCACCACACCTGGTTGAACTGCGGTGATTATAGCTCAACGAATAGTCTAGTCTCAGCATCATCCGCACTTGGCTCACGAAGAGGTTTTTCTGGTGGAGATGAGGGTTCCTCTGTGATGCTAATATTTAGGTCGAACAAGCTGGTAGTTGAATGTCTTTCCCTTTAACTTGAAGGCATCATGTCACACGAGTTTTAAACTGAGTGTTGTGTCATAGGCATCTTGACATTGAGGTCGAAGAAGCTCACAGTTAAATGTCCCCCCTCGAAGAGGTTGAATAAGCAACATCATCATCGTTGGAGAGTTCGAATGTTGTATAAGTTAACGAAAATATTGCGATTGGAAATTTGTACTGAAGTGGGGACAATTTTCTAGGTCTTCCAACATGAACCTTCCTTGAAATTTTAGTGATTAGCTCCTTCAAGAGAATCAAGAGTGATGTTTCTCTTGAAAGATATTCTGACAGAATGATTTGAAGCGAAGACAACACCGATTTCATCTTCTCGAAATTTTTCCATCATAGTAAACAATAGCTAAAATACGCTTCATTTTTAGAGTTTAAAAGATTTAGAGTCATATATCTGCAAAAACAATAGCTGAAATACACCTAATTAAATAAATAATATACGAATTAAAATATAAACTAATGCTAATTTTTTTTAAAAATTACAGTAAATTAAATAACACAATTTAATATTGCTATCGTATCGGCAAAATGTATCGAGATTTGATCACTCCTTCCATTTTACAACCGCAAAAAATAATACGAAATAGTTATTACAAAAAATTTTGGTCAAATAATTAAATATAAAATAAATATAATATAATAAAAATAATATTGCCTTCTACGAACTATAACAAAATCTACTTAGCTTGATAGAAAAAAAGAAAGTGAAAGTAATTTTAGCGTTGTTTGATGTTTGCATTCAGGGGTATTTTTATGGGAGGGACATGGGTGAATCGTCGAACTTCAAGGCTCGGGTAATAATGGAAATAATGGAGTGCCAAATAATTCAAGGTGAATAATAGAAGGTGTGGATAGTAATCTGCAACTTCTGCCATGTGTCACCTTTACCACGAAGGCGCGGATAGGTGTTTGAGTATCGTAAATGTTAAAAGTGTGAACATTTATTATCAAATAGTCAATAATATTTAAACAAATATTATATTGTATTAAACTCTAATGTATCATAAAAAATGTAGATTTTGTAAGATCATGGGCACTATTCACAAGCCATGAGATTTTATTGGGAGTTTAATCGAGTCGATGAATAATAAGTTGCTACAATTTTTTAAGTAAGATGTAACTGAATCGGATTTGAATGAATAAAGTTGTAGTTATTTTTTAAGGTATTCATGTTATGTTCATGTTCGTTTAAATTTTTAATATCAATTTTCATGTTGTTTGTTTTTTTTAAGGTGTTAGTGTTCAATTTGTTTAGCGTTCATAAACATGTTCTTTTAACATTCGCGAATATAGTTTGTTTTTTATTTTCATTAGTCAAAGAAAAATGGTAGAATTATAACATTAGTCCTTAAGCTTTTTAGGCTTCATAGTTTGAACTCCAAAATTTATCTTCTGTTCAATTTAGTCTCGAACATCATTAATATTTGAAGCCTAAAAATAAAATGAAAAAGAGAATGAGATAAACAAGCTTATAAATGAGCCAATAAAAGAGATTTCAAACGAGCTTGTCCATGAATATAAACAAATTAAACACACCTTTATTCATGTTCGTTCGTTTATTAAATGAATATATAAATTTTGTCCATACTCTTTTATTTAACTTAACAAACAAACATTCACGAACAATTCATCAAACATTATATCCCTTTACATCCCTATTTTTAGACCAGAATGACAACTAGATTTAGTGATGTCTTGTTTTATTTCCTACACAGGTAAGACAAGATTCAGTGGCAGATACAAAGCATATCTAGGGTGAGCATGTTTCAACTTTGAAATGTGAATTTCTTTATATTAGTTGCCCATTTTTGATATGGGTGTCCAAAATTTTATCTCTGTCCACCCCATACGAAAAATTTCAATAACTAATATGTGTGTGCCCATCCTCAAAAATGTTTATGGATCTACCACAACAAGATTACTTATATTATTAAATCCTAAACCTTAATGTAAATCACAAATATTAAGATTTGAACTTTAATAATATATTAAACACTATCATTGAAAGCATGAATCAAAATAACTAACCGAGCAGGAGAAGCACACTTGTATGCTGAAACAGATTCATATTCAAAAACACAAAAAGTGAAGGATAACTTACTTACATGACATTGGATAATGTCATGGAGGAAAAGAATGTATAATCCAATATGAAATTATTTGTTGCTTCAAAATGAGCAAAATAATATGCAATCAGAAAACGGTCCAAATCCGATAGTATTTCCGACTCTGCAACTGAATCAATCGATCTAATTGAGCTACGATCGTGCCTAACTCGAAACACGAGCTTGTTTCGCCAATGCATCTCGAATGCCACAAGCCTCTATGCTGGCTTCCTCATGGTGCTGCTGCTGCTGGGAGCTTTGATCATGCAGCACCGAGTAATCTCCCATGCCTTCACACAAGGATGAATCATCTTCCCTCATGAGCAGAACATTATGCAAGATCGAACAAGCCCCGATGACCGCGACAGAAGCCTTGGACTCCTCGCACATTGGTCGGTCCAAAATCCCCCAGTTCTTCAAACTAGCCACTGTCTTCCATGCTGAAGCACGCATCGCTCGGTGGGCAGCGTTGAACTCCCCTCGGAACGAACCCGGAACGACATCGTCGACGAAAGGCACCATTAACCATGGAAGCAAAGGGTAATCACAATCACCTACAAAATACTGATTTACAGCCACTCCATTGACGATCAGTGGGGTTGAATTTAATAACTTTCCTTCTTCAATATCTTCACAAAAAGTTGAACATTTGAGGATCTTGGAATCACTTTTATCACCCTTGAAACCTGCAATTATGCTCAAAATTCTTGATGATGAATCCACCACTATTTGAGCAGCAATGCTATCAATGCTGCCATTGATTTCATTCACGATATTGAATCTAGTACAATCAATCACACCGCAACAATTCGGTAACCCAGTGAGTTGTTGGAATTCTAATGATACTGAGTTAAGCTCCTTGGGACTCGGAAACGCAACCCAAAATCGGAAATTAGTGCAAAGGACGCGGCAGAGATGCTTGGCGCAGAAACGAGTCACGGACTCGGATACCCCAAATCGTCGAGCGATCTCGGTGTAACTCGAACCAGTGGCTAACCGGAACAAACCAATCCCCAAACGTAATTCGGCGGAGAGATTCAACGGGGAACCAACCGGGTCCCGGCACTCCAACAGCGGCTCCAGCAGCCCGGCAAGCCACTCGAAGGTGGATGATTTCATCCTGAAGAACGGTTTGAACGAGTCGGGGTCCCGAGTCAACCCGAGCCCGACTCGGTCGAGTCGTCGGTCGGCGATTTCATCGGCGGCGGACTCGGAATCGGATTCCGAGCAATGGGTCCTCTTCCGTTTTCGAGAAACCGATACGAATGAAAGCGAGGCGGCGATTTGTTGCGAGGAGAGCAAATGGTGGACGATGGCAAAGGCGTTGTTGCCATGGGAGATGAAATGACGATTGTTGTCGTCGTTTTTGTTGGAATCGAAGAGGGTGATGATTATCAGGAGGAGCTGAGAGACGAGGGAAGAGAGCAGGGCTGACAATTTTCGAGGATCCATAGGAATTTTTGTCGGGGATTTGGGATTCGAGGTTTTGGGATTCGAGGTTTTTGTGTCAGAGATTGTTGTTGGTGAATCAGAGGGGAAGAAAGGACCAATCATTTGACACCACCTGGCCTAATTCAGTGTGGTTTCTCTTTGGAGTTTGTACCCTTTTTCATTTTGTTTTGGGTTGAGATTTTGTAATCATTTGTATGATCCAATGGGCTTTTCTCTTCAAATGAGATCTATTTAAGGATCGAATTATTATTTTTTTAGGTAAAGTATGTAAATGGTTTTCGACTATATAATATTATTTTATTGAGTTATTTAAATATTAAAAATTATAAAATGGCGTTCTAATTATAAGACATTATTTTTTTAAGTCTCATGACTATTAAAAGTTACTAAATAGTCACCTGATTATTCATTGTGTTCCAAACTCGTCTTTTTCCGTTAAAAAACTAATGGCAATTTGAGCCAGACATTAACCTGCTGATTGAGACATGATATATAATATGATCACATAATCTCAAACAACTATTATATCTCAGTCAGTAGGTTAACGTCCAGCTCAAACTACCATCAATTTTTTAACGAAAAAGAACGAGTTTAAAACACGATAAATAGTCGGGTGACCAATTTGTAACTTTTAATAGCCGAGAGACTTAAATAAGTAAAATCTTATAGTCATGGAACTATTTTGTAACTTGTAATCATTTGTATGATCCAGTGGACTTTTCTCTTCAAATAAGATCTATTTAAGAATCGAATTATTATTTTTAAGGTAAAGTACATAGATGATCCCTCAATTATAGGGTGTTACTTTATTAATTCCTTCGAATATTAAATGTTATAAAATAGTTTCCTGACTATAAGGCATTGTTTTTTAAGTCCCATGACTATTAAAAGTTACAAAATGGTCACCCGACTATTCATTGTTTTCCAAACTCGTCATTTTCTATTAAAAAACTAATGACAATTTGAGTTTGACGTTAACCTACCGACTGAACGTTAACCTACTGATAATTTTCTGTTAAAAAAATACTTTTTTTAACCATTAAAATCGCTAGATGAGTTGATTATATTTGTAATTATATATAAATTTGATTTAAAAATAAGCATATTTCTCCAAAAGTTAGGTCATTTGACCAAACTTGAGAAATGAGGTTAAGCAAAAAAAAAATTAACTGATTTAAAATATGTTTCGTCGTTGAATTCTCATTCTTTAAGAGTTAGGTCCGTTTGGTAATGCTTTCAAAAAAAGCATTTTTAGTTAAAAAGTTCGTTTTAACTATAAAATTAATGTTAAACGGCTAAAAATTGAAGAAAAAAATTATTGTAAAAACAGTGGTTTCAAACCAATCGTAAAAACTAGGATTTCTAATTTTTTCATTTTGAACTTTGCGTTTGGAAGCAAATTATAATTTTATCCTTACTAATGCATGAACTCCACTTAATTATGTTTTTACATTTTATTTTAATAATTTAATACTAACAACATAAAAAATAATTTATTACTTTTAATAATTTATTTTAAATATTTTAAAAAATAAAATTCATTATTTATATATTAAAATATTAATAGTGAGTTATATAAAATATATTTTTATTATAATTATATTTTATTTTATTTTTATATTTTATATTTTTACTATATTTAAATTGATATAATTGATATAATAATATGCTTTTATATCATCATCGACGTCGACCCTTGATCAAACCCGAAGGGCCTTTCGTCATAATATGTTACCGTTTGCCGTGGAGAAGCGTTCAAAGGTTCGTCGGATTTTAAGCCACCGTCTTCATTCTTCGTTGATTCTGGTCGATTTCGACGTCCATAAGTCAAATCACCGCCACCATTCGAACCACCATACTATTTCGATCAAAACCTAACCGTTCGGCGACGACGATGATGATCGGAGATGGCTAGCGACCGTTTGGGTTAAGAAATTAAAAACGGGGATTGAAATGAGAGATTTTAGTTTTTTAGGTTTTTTTACAATTTTGTTAAAAAGTTGGGGGATTTTTATAAATCAATTAAACTTTTTTATTTTTTTAATTAGAAATATTTTTTATTATTAAAAAATTAAAAGAATAAATGGTATGCACCTAAAAGTATAACCAAGAAAACGTTAGGTACCTATTTCTCTTTCCCCTTTCAAAAGTCGTCGATCGGCTAGCGGTGATCGTCACCGTCACCGGCGTCGACCCCCGATCAAATCCAATTAGCTTTTCGTCATAATATGCTATCGTTTACCGCGGATAAGCGTTCTAAGGTTCGTCGAATTTTAAGCCACCGTCGTCGTTCTTCGTCGATTTTGGTCGATTTCGAGATCCATAAGCCACATCGCCGCCACCATTCGAAGCACCATGCTATTTCGATCAAAACCTAACTGTTCGGCGACGACGACGATGATTGGAGAAGGTCAGTGACCATTTGGATTAAGAAATTGAAAATGAGGATTGAAATGAGAAATTTTAGTTTTTTTTACAATTTTAATAAAAAGTGGGGGATTTTTATAAATAAATTAAACTTTTTCTTCTTTTTTTAATTAAAAATAAATTTTTATTATTAAAAATTTTAAAAATAAATGATAGACACCTAAAAGTATAACATAAAAAAAACGTTAGACACATATTTTTAGCGAAAAAATAAATTTAAGCTGGACATTAACAATGATGACTAGGTATATGATAGTCATTTAAAATTATGAGATCAAATTTTATCATATTACAATTATCAGGTTAATGTTCAGCTAAAATATCATTTTGTAACTTTTAATAATCGAGAGACTTAACAAAATAACACTTTATAGTCAGAGGATCATTTTATAATTTTTTATATTTAAGAGATCGTTTAAGTATGTTATGATTATTTTTAAGTGGTAAAATATAAAATAGTATTTATTTATAATATTTTAATTATTCATAACACATACTTTACAAATAATATTTTTTTTGAAATTTAGAAATATAATATATATAATTGTTTGAATCCGAAAAATACTAAAAGAATAACAATTTTTTTTATCATAACAATCACTTTATTTATTTATTTAATAATCAGAAATAAAAAGAGAAAACAGACCACATAGCAAAATAACAACGAGAAAGAGAGCAAGAGAAAAGTCTCCCCCCAAAAATAATAAAATACAAGTAAAAATCGAAGAAACTCATCTGATTCCTTACTTCAACACTGTTTCTTAATACCCTATTAATCTCAAAGACCCAGTTTTTGATCGCTTCGCGTTTCATCGTCTCAGATAATCAGATATATTTTCCAGGTATTTTCTCTTAATCTGTGCTGTTTTCCCCTTTTCTTTCTAAATTTGATATATTTGCTTTAGTGATCTAAAATTCTAAGATCGTTTAATTCCACCCCTTATGGATGTCACAATTTTTGCTTATTTTATGGTTTTTTTTTTAATTTGATTACGTTGGGTTATTTGCTACAGTTTTTATGTTGATTGGGGTGTTTATCTACAGACATTTCCGATTTTATTTTATTTTTAATAAAAAAATTGGTAAATTATCTGGGGTATTGGGTATTGGCATTCTTCAATTCATTCATTTGATGCTAAATTTTGTATTACTTTTTACCAAATAAATAAAAAAATATTTGGGTTTCATTGTTTTGTTACACCTTTGTCCAAAATTTAAAGCTTTACAAGATAGGCCTGGGTTGTTTACATTTAGGTTAATGGTTTTGTCAATATGATAAAGTTTGTGTGTTTCTGTTGATGTGGATGCTTAATTTTGCATATCAGATGGCCGAGATCCTGCTTTTGCAAATTACATTTTATCGATATTATGATTTGATGCTTAAAAAATCGACATCTTGAATTTGGGTGTGGCAGCATTGTAATCCTTTTGATGTGGTGCAAAAGCTTGAATGTTTTTCACCTAAAGATTTTGAACTTTTCCCATCTTTGAGCTGAAGCTAGGTGTTAAATCATGAGCACATTATATTCAGTAATAGTTTAATAATTGTTTTTTCTACTCGATCATGTTTTCTTTTGATACACCGATTTTTCAGTATTTTAACTTAGTTTTGATGTACTTTACCTATTCAGATTTCGTGTTGCATTCTGTGTTATATAAAGTTATTCTTGCCTGCATGTCCAATCAGTATGGTAGGTCGTTCTTTTGGTTCAAGATGTTTATTGTCTCGAGTTTTCCCTTGCTGACATACGTGAAACATGAAATGCAACTGGTCAATCTTACATGACCATGGGAAGCTGAAAAATTCAAGGGTTATTTAAGCATCTCTGAAATATTTCTGGGTGAAAGATATCGTCCCTGATGCAACATCAAGGGGACACCATTAATTCCTTCCCTGAAACTTTTAACATTGAAGAGGGACCTAGTCCTGATAATGCTAGTATCGGTCAACCAAATTCTTTGGGTAACTTGTTGAATCCTTTGGAAACCCGTTCATCCAATTATACAGTCCCTTATGGTGAAATGCATGGAAACTCTCTTACTCCTGATGTTCGGATCTTAAGTGGCTGGAATTCTGGTGAACCAAGCTCTAGAGCTAGGCTGCAAAACCAGTCGAATCAGGGTATGCTGAATCACCAGCTTGATGATGATGGAACAAAAGTAGAACATGGCTGGTCTACATATGGTACTCGTGCTGGTGATGCTCAAAGGTCAGAAGAAAGGCGGGTTGAACCACCAAATGTCTTTTCCCATGGGAGATTGAATAACGGCCATAATGTCAATCAGATTAGAAATGCGCATTTATATTTTGAAGGTTCCAGCTCTAATCATGGCCCACTGAGTGTGAATCTAACTGAAGGATTTATTAGCCGCAGGGGTACTGGGGGATCGGGTGTTGGATCTGGTATGGATCCTAATCCGCACAATTCAATTGGATCAGAAAGAGAGCGGGTATCTAATGCCAGTGTGTCTTATAATGTTGGTAGTTCTTCTGGAATCTCTAATTATGAGGGGGAGGAAATTGATGATGGCTCTGGCTCTTCTTTGGGGAGTTGGGGTTTATCCTGCAAGAGGAAGGCCCTTGAAGGTACTTCCAGACAGTCTTATTCTGCTAGTTCTTCGAGCTATTCTGAACAAATTGAAGATGTTGCAATGCATGCTATTCCTGCTCGTAATGATGCATCTAGTCACATGGGTTTACCGACACCGTCTCGGAATTTACTTAATGCTAGCCCTCCTGACCAGCTTGGTATGACAGGAGTAGTTAGTAATGAATTTCCTTCTAGTGCAAGAAGTGCAAATCAAGGAAGCCGACAAGAATGTTCACCATATAGCTTATCATCAACTGGGGTTGGTGTGCAGTCTAGTTTCGGCTCTCCAAGTCACCCTAGAGCTGCCCTATTTGGTGACTCTAGAGATCTGAGATCAACAGCAGCAATAGCTGAAAATTCTTGCTCTCCCTCATCTCAACCTTGTACAAGGATTGTTTCTGTTGCGCCAAGCAATATGAATCCTTTCCCTTGGAATGGGACTTCTAGTTCAAGAGCTGGCAACCCATCAGGATCTACTAATCCTGTTGAGAGAGCTGCTGCTGCCTACAGGGAGGAACCGAACATAAGAAATATCTCGAGAAGCAATGTAGAGCATCCCATGTTTGAAGCGGAAACTGAGATGAGACATGTAGCACAAAATCCTACAGGTTGGAGTTTGGCAACTGAAAATAATATTAGCACTTCTGGAAGTATTCCATCGTCTAATCGGCCTGGTCCTAGTTCAAGCATCCCATCTGTGCCCACTCCTTCCTGGATTCCTCCTCAGAACCCTTCACTACAATATCAACAACGACTATCAGAATTTGCACCTTGGTCTTTGTTTCCTCCATTTGATTCTGAATCTGGTAACAATACTGGTTATTTTCTGTCGTTATCTTCAGGTGGTCCTTCTGCTTCCTCACAAGAAACAAGAGTGCTATCTCGATCTAACAGCCAAGGTAATAGTCGAACATACCCAAGGTCAGCACTCATGTTGGAGAGACAAGGTGATAATGATCATGGGATGCCTCACTCATTGCGAGCTTTGGCTTCTGATATTGAAGGGAGACACCGGCTAATATCCGAGGTTTGTGTTCCGAGAAAACTTTTTGCTAATTATTAACTTACATCGTTTCTTCACATTTGTAGATTCTAAGAAGACATGGTTTTGTTTATAAATTGCTGTTGATATTCTTATTTTCTTTTGCATGTCATATTTGATGTTCATCTCAAATTTATTTCCTTCTCCACGCATCAGATCCGTCAAGTTTTGACTGCCATGCGTAGGGGGGAGAACTTACTAATCGAGGTTCGGTTTTCGATTATGTTGCCATTACATTTACATAAATAGGTTGTTTGCTTGCTGTAACAATTTTTTTGGCTTTCCCTACGTTGACTACAATGATTTTGCTGGATAAGGTTGAGAGATCTATTTACATTTTTCTTGATCATCAGTTCTATGTTGCCTGAGAATATTTCTTGCTCCTTTTCTGCATTATATGATGTTGGGTGACATTAGATCTTTATGTGATACCCTTTCAGGATTATACGATGTTCGATCCATTCATATATCATGGCATGGCTCAAACACACGACAGGCACAGAGATATGCGCCTTGATGTTGATAACATGTCGTACGAGGTAAAAAAGGATCGATGTTTAATGTTTTATCACTTAACATTGGAGGTTATTCTTATCAAATCGCAACCGGAACCCCAGGAACTGCTGGCTTTAGGAGAACGCATAGGAGACGTGAGTACCGGACTGAATGAGGAAACAATTCTGAAGTTGATGAAACAGCATAAATATTCTTCCATTACGACAGAATCCACACAAGAATCGGAACCCTGTTGTATCTGTCAGGTACGATGCTAGTATAGCAGAGACAAGCTGCTTTAAAATATCTTTGTTCATCTTACCTGTTTAGTTTTCGTTTTGTTTACCCTGTTTGAACTTTAACTATGGCAGGAAGAATATGTGGATGGGGACAATACCGGCACACTCGATTGCGAGCACGACTTCCACACTAACTGCATCAAACAGTGGTTAATGCTGAAAAACATATGTCCTGTTTGCAAGACAACAGGCTTGCTCAAGTGAAGATCAAAAGTTGTTATAAAAGCGAGAACTTCAATTTTCTTCTAGTTAAGCTGCCGTTCTTGATCATAAACTGTAAACTTTTCGAGGCGGTGGAGTAGCCATTAGTGTTATGAATTGCAGAACGAGCTTGTGGAATCACTTGCATAAAGCATCATGACAATGATACATACATATTTGAAATAATGCTTGTGACATTGTTAACAAGCTTTAAGAATGTAAATATAGTTCATCATTTCTGGGATTTTAAATTTACAAGAGGTTGCAAATTAGAAGTTGACAATCCATAAACTTCCCACATCCATGCATGAATTACACCTCCTATGTTTTATCTGCCAATTATGAAACCTTGGCACAGAAAAAAGAAAACGAAAAAAACTAGAGACGGATCAAAGAGACGAAGCATTGATCAACATAACTCGATTGTCTGATCTTATTCGAGTTTACAAGTACGAGTCTTTCGGATTTTTCTAGATCCATACTGCAAAAGAAACTTCCTCTTGCTTACCGGTTCTTCATGCAAGACAGCAACATCCCTCACCTTGTCAAACAAGTCCTCTAGCTTCTCCACACCGAGCTTCCGATAGTCCAGCATCTTCTTATAGCGTTGATGGTATACTTCTTCGAAGCAACCCAAGAAAATTCGGCAGGAATAACTCACCAGAATTTCCTGCAACTCGTATTTAAATTGATCGAGATTATGGTCATCAACATCATAACTTGCTGCTCCATTATTCCTCTCATCGCATTCTTCGACTACCACTCTTTCCTCATCGGAAAACCTGTTAGAAGAGCCAGCCCCCAGAGCCAAAGGCGGTGCGCTTGGGCTCGATCTCCAGTTTCTAAGGTAGACAAATCTCTTGTGACCTTTTCCTTCAATAGCTAGAGTGTCCCCCATCTTTCTGAAAAGATTAACGAGTTTGCATGCCCCATACTCTGCCACGTAAAGAGGCCTCCCGAAAAACTTATTATACTCGGCAGGAATGCGGATAAGAGGCATGCATCCTCCTGAAAGTTCAAGCAATTTCACCAGTTGTCCCTTCAAACCATTTATGTCTCCGGGCTGAACCCACATGACATCATTCTGATCATAAACACCGGGACATCCCGGCACTTCATTCAAACCAGATGGGAGACTTTGCGATCTCGAAGTTGCAGGGAAAGAAGGTATGGCAACTGAAGGATTACTAGTATATTCAGACAAAGACCTCGATGCTACTGTGAAATCTCTCGAGTTGTAACAGCTTTGTGAAACACTCTTATAAATTATCGCTTCTTCCTCATTTTGGCCATCTTGATAGTCACCAATATGGCACCCCATGAAACACCCAGAAATATCAGCCGGCCCTCCTCGATAAGGCATTAAGGCCTTTGAAGGAGGCACAAAGCCTTCCCCACGAGCAACGCTAGGCCAATCCCAAACGAACTTACCAGCACTGCACAGTGCAGATGAAACACTCCCGGCAGGAATAACAAGAATGACTATATAGCCACGTTGACCAAGTATGTGAAGAGCCGGTGCAAAATCAACATCCCCCGAAATCAGCATGATAGATGAAGGCGGAGGGTTATCGAGGGCAAATAAAAACATGTCGACCAAGATAGCCTTGTCAGCGGCGTCCTTCCTTCCATTCGGTACATCTATGAGTTTGACACCAGTTCTCTGACAGCCCTCCCTGAGTCTCCTGGGGAAGGCATTAAAATCCCCATATGCAGAAAACATCATAACAGCTCCCGTAATTACAGGATGCACTCGGAGAGCCATTCTTATATTCCCGGCCACATCTTCAGGGCGGACATCACTTGGGACAGGGCAGTTCTCTATATCCCAAAGGATAGCCACGGGACCGTCCAATGAGGTTCGCTTTGGCTGGTTCATAGAAGGTTGAAGCACATTCACATTTGAATCCACCATAAGAGTTCCCTTTTGTTCCATGGATTCCGAAGCATTTAGATTGGCCATGGTGTACAATCGTCAGTTCGTTCCAGTCCAGTCCAATCCAATCCAATATCTGAACAAGAACACAAATTGCACAAAGTGGATTATCCAATATTTATACATTTAACAGTGCAAGAACACAAATTGCAACAAGTATCGAACCGATTGAATATCGAGAAAGCATCAAGCACCCAACGATGGAGTTGCAAATTATGTATAAAACCATGAATAAAAGGGTAAACCGAAGCATAAGTTCATAAATCCAATCACTAAAACAGTAAAGTTCATAGCTAGAATGAGCTAAAACAATGACTAATTGAAAAAAAAACCCCTTCAATATCTACTTAAATCCCATTTCCCCCATGAAACAAAGCGACAAACATACAAAATACAAAATACCCAATGATCATTCAATCAAAAGAAACAGAAACAAATCAAGAAATTAACACCAAATATAGAGAAGGAGAAGAAAAGGGTACCTTATGTGAGGACCAACAATCTCAGATCCCGAGAGTGTGAACCCAAAACAAATGAAAAAAAAAAACCCAATTTTTACTGAAAAGAAGGAATCTTTGTTTCAAACCCAGAGGAGATTGAATAACAAAATAGGTTGAAGTTGAGGAGAGAAGAAGGAAGGAAACCTGTGGTTAGAGGAAGGTATTTTGCCTGATGGTTTTGAAGGAAATGGTTTCTTTTTCTTTAAGCAAAGCTACTCTTTTTCTGCATCAAGAATAAATGTCTGGGCTTTGTTCATAAGTGGATTTGCTTTGCTTTCTCTTTGTTTCTCGAAGTGGAAATGCATTTACCAAAGGCTTAATACCAAAATAATTGTCAAAACTTTACCTAATTTTTTTAACAGGTGGCTTAAATATTTTTTATTTATCTAGATTTTTAACGTTACAAATATTCCATATTTAGGTGTCCGAACCGTCAACGGCACGTGTTAATATCTAGTGATTTTAAATTTTTTATTTAATTTTTTTTAAAAAAAAATTATATATTTCTAAAACAAAAACATTTTGAAATAACCTCAAAAACTTTGAAAACCTTCATTTCAACCCCTAAATCCACAACGACCATCGACCATTGTCGACGACAAAGCTCCACCCGACCTCATATCTCCCGCGACTAAAACCCCCATGAAATCGTGACCTATCAACGACGAATCGACGTTTTATACCCCTCAATCCCTAGGATGAAAACTATAATCCCGCACGATCTCGCTCGCTAATCGATGACAACTACGATGACGTATGACTATGAGGATGACAAAGACTACATCGATGGTGATAGTTATGGCTGAAAAAGGGACAGTGGCGGTTTAAGGATCGAATATGGGAAATATTAGGTATTTTGGTTTTTTATATAATTTAAGAGAAATTAGGTTTTTATTTTATAAATATAATAATATTTTTAAAAAAAATTATAACAGTTGTCACTTAACGAGATAAATTAACATCGTTGACGGCCCGAACATTTAAATGGGTAACGTTTGTAACGTTAGGAACCTAGATGAGTCAAAAATAATTTAGGCACTTATACGAGAATTTAGATATAGTTTAGACACTTATTTTGGTATTAAACTTTTACCAAACCATTCCAAGAGGAAAAATAATAGGATAAATACATTATAGTCATTAAATTATACTTAAATAATTATTTTAATTATAATAGAATTTTTTAATAGATCTCTATAAATTCTAATTTAATCGATCAATAAATCAAATATCAATAATTAATTAAAATATCGTAATTATTATATTTTAAAAATTATTAAATTATTATAAATAATCACTAAGTTTAATCAAATCATCATATAAAGTAATTATTAAAATTTTATGCTACTTTGACAATTTTAATAAATATTTCGTAATTTTGTAATTAAAATAATCATTCAAGTATTTTAATAATTTAAAATGTACTTTGTCCAAAATAATAATAGGATCATATGTATAATGCGTATAGCGTTGCTTTTGTCTTGTTTTATGGACGGCTACATTTTGGTTTGATGACAACACGTGGAATTTCTTAATCCAAAGAGATGAAAATCCTATGGTTTTTTTGTATTTTTATATTATACGATCAGTGAAGCAATTATCGGCATCGTCGAACACGATGTTCTTCGTCGATGGTGCTCGGCAAGCATCGGGCTCGACATAGAAATAGTTGCGAGAAAACTTGAAATTGGTCAACTTGGGCAGCTTGCAGACATTTTCAGGCACCATTCCATTGAGCTTGTTATGCGAAACATCCAAGTATTCAACGTTCTCCATGCCTGCAATGGTGTCCGGGAACGAACCGAGGAAATAGTTCGAACTAGCATCGAAGAACGTCACGTTCTTCAGCTTCCCGATGTCCGATGGAAAGCAATCGAGAAGGTTGTTATTTGTCAACGAGATCTCGTTCAGGTTCTTCATCTTGCCAATGCTATGCAGAATGCAGCCTTCGAGCTTGTTGTTGGCGAACGTCACGACCGAGACCGTCGATTTTTAGATCGTTTCGGGGATGGTGTACTTGAACCGATTGTTGTTCAAGAACAACACGTCCAACGGTTTCTCGAAGATCTCCGGCGGAACTCTGCCTTCGAAATCGTTGTACCGGAGATCGATGAATTTTACCGACGACTATGTGAGGACAACTTCTGGGAAAGGGCCTACGAAATGGTTGTTACTTATATCAAACTCATGCATAAGTGTAAACCTAGATAACGTTTTGGGCACAATCCCACAGAATCTGTTACTATTTAAATGGAACAGTGAAGATCGGTCATCATCCCTAATTCGGCCGGGAGATGTCCAGCGATATCAGCCTCGTTAAGATCGATTCCCGCCACCGTACTCAAGTTCTTATTGTCCAACGCCTTGGCACAAAAACACACCGTTGTAACCGCACACATCGGGTCTGACCCAGTTACTGGTGTTATCATAAAGGTCAGAGTATATAGCCTTTTTCAACGCTTGAAGCCCAATGTAAGCTCTCTTAAGCCTATTGTTCGCAAATGTTTCGACTACTCTAACCTCGTATTTGACTTCGTCGGGAAGTTCATCATTCGGAGGAAGGGTCATAAGATGTCGACGGACGATGTTGTCGACTTGGGCATCGATCAATGCGAGGGTAGACGTCGATAACTGTAAGGTATGGCTCATAAATATACCGGTAAAGAGGACAGGGGATGAAAAATCAAGTGTTTGCGGTCTGACAATGGTACGGAGTACACATATTCATAGTTCTTACACTTCTGTAAGGAGCACGGAATTAAGAGACATTTTACAGTGCGCAAGACACCACAACAAAATGGTGTTGCGGAACGGATGAACAGGTCGTTGAATGAAAGAGCCAGATGTTTACGGTTGAATGCGGGGCTTCCCAAACACTTTTGGGCCGAGGCTGTTAACATGGCGTGTTATCTTATCAACAGATCGCCAAGGGCATCATTGGCTGGGAAAGTTGCAGAAGAGGTATGGACTGGTCATGATGTTAGTTTTGATAACTTACGGATTTTTAGTTGTCCTGCTTATGTGCATGTACCTGCTGATGAGAGATCCAAACTTGATGCAAAATCGAAGGAGTGCATTTTTCTGGGTTACAAGAAAGGTGTCAAAGGATTCAAGTTCTGGGATCCAGTTGCGAAGAAAATTGTGATCAGTAGAGATGTTGTTTTTGATGAACAATCCATGTTGCAACAGAAGAAAGACACGACAGTGGTGGATTTCGAGCAGTTTCCAGTTGAGAAAAACCGACTTCTGGTGGTTCCACTACGGATGATTTGCAGGATTATAGTCTCACCAAAGATAGGGTGAGACGGACGAATATAAAGCCTCCGAGTAGATTGGGTTTTGAAGACTTGGTCTCTTTTGCACTTATTGTTAGCAGTGATGATCCGGTTAATTTTCATGATGCTGTTACTAGTCAGGAAAACGACAAGTGGATGGCAGCCATGGTTGAGGAGATGGAGTCTTTCAATCACAATCATACATGGGAGTTGGTTCGCCTTCCTGAGGGTAAAAAGCTGATTGGTTGCAAATGGGTGTATAAGAAGAAACCAGCAGTAACAGAAAAAGAGGGGGAGAAGTTCAAGGCTCATTTGGTAGCAAAGGTTTTTCACAGTAGAAAGGAGTTGATTATGATGAAATTTTTTCTCCTGTGGTCAGGCACACTTCAATCCGAGCAGTACTTGCATTGGTGGCCAGTTGGGATTTGCATTTAGAGCACATGGATGTTAAAACTGCTTTTTTGCATGGTGATTTAGAGGAGCAGATCTACATGCGGCAACCAGAAGGTTTCACTCAACCTGGAAACGAGTATTTAGTTTGCAAATTGAAGAAATCTTTGTACGGGTTGAAACAGTCTCCGAGACAGTGGTATAAACGGTTTGACTCCTATATGATCAAGATTGGCTACAACCGATGCGAGTATGATTGTTGTGGCTATGTTAAGAGCCTTGATGATGGTTCTTTTATTTTTCTATTACTGTATGTTGATGATATGTTGATTGCTGTGAAGAACATGGATGATGTTATCGGTTTGAAAACTTTATTGAGTCAGGAATTTGATATGAAAGATTTAGGTGCTGCAAAGAAAATTCTTGGAATGGAAATTTGCTGGGACAGAGACTCAAGGAGACTGTGGCTATCTCAACGGGGTTATGTTGAAAAAATGCTAGAAAGGTTTGCGATGAGCAGCGCAAAACCTGTTAGCACTCCATTGGCGAACCACTTTAAGCTCTCATCAGAACAGTGCCCTAAGACAGATAAGGAAGCTGAAGATATGGCAAAGGTTTCGTATTCTAATGCTGTTGGCTGCTTGATATATGCAATGGTATGTACTCGTCCTGATTTAGCTCATGCTGTTAGTCAAGTTTTTAAGTACATGTCTAAACCTGGTAAGCAACATTGGGAAGCAGTCAAGTGGATCTTTCGATACTTAAAGGGTATTGTGGGACATGGAATTGTTTTTGGTAGTCAACGAGATAATCCTTTGGTTGTATGATATGTGGATTCAGACTATGCAGGTGACTTGGATAATAGACGATCTACGACAGGGTATGTTTTTACTCTTGGTGGAGGACCTATTTGTTGGAAGTCTACTGTTCAATCTGTAGTGGCACTATCTACAACTGAAGCTGAGTACATGGCAGCGGCTGAAGCTGCAAAAGAAGCTTTTATGGCTTACTGGTTTAGTGAAGGAGTTGGGTGTTCAACTGCTTTGCGACAATCAAAGTGCTATTCACTTAGCTAAGAATCAGGTATATCGTGCTAGAACTAAGCACATTGATGTACGTTTTCACAAGATCAGAGAGTTGGTTGCATTTGAAGAGATTTTGTTTCAGAAGGTACACACTGATGAGAATGCCGCTGATATGTTTACCAAGCCAGTTACGATAGACAAGTTCAAGCATTGCTTGGACTTGTTGAATGTTTCAAGTTGTTAAAGAACTAAGGTAACCCCCCACATTGAATGTTTCCTAAGGGGCAGGATATTTGCCAAGGTGGAGATTTGTAAGGTATGGCTCATAAATATATTGGTAAAGAGGACAGGGGATGGAGCGGAGTGAACATCAACTATCCTTACAAAGAAAGTCTCGTAGAGGGGGTTACGATTATGTGGGTTGGGGGTGCGGGGGCTGTGCCCTCGCGGTACGGTACAGGGTTAATTTTGTAATTATGTACCAGGGTTTTCTATTATAAATAGAGATGTAACCTAAACCTATGAGAATTGAATAAAATTTTCTAGCGCCGCCT